CTGATGTCTGCCCACAAGAACCACCATGAAGTCACAATTTCCCCTTAAAAGAAGCCAGGGAAGTGTGCCTCCAGGGCTGCGTCCCTGCCCCGTGTCTGGGAGCTCTGGCTCACCTACAGCCATGCCAAGTTACACCGAGTTCACAGCTCTGCACCAGAAAAGCAAAGGAAGTAATGACAGGCAAGGTCAGAGGCATGGAGAACATCGAGGAGCCCTTCCTCAGGGTTTGTTTCCCTTTTGACGGTCAAATTTGGATGGGGAAAATAATTTCAATGCATAAAGCTGCCTACACAAAAATCTCTCACATGGCTCTCTGTAAATGTGGTGGAGGTGGGTGTCTCTGAGCAGCCCTGTGCCCCTCTGGGATGACAGATTTCCACTCCTCCAGCCTGCCACCCAGATTTCACATCCCTTTTCGGCAAAGCCCAGTTCCAACCAGCCATTTGGAAACCTTGGAACCAACATCCCTCCTTCTTCAGACCTGCCCCACTTGTAGCATCTCATTCCCACAGCCAAGGAGAAAAGCTCAAAGCTTTACCAGCAACCAACCTCCTCCTTTCAGAGCCGGGTCATAAACCCAAAACGCTGACAAAGGTAGTTAGGTTACACCTGGATAAACAGGTAATCACCAAAAATACGCTCCATAAACATCAGCTTTCAAAACAGAGCTCTGCTGAGTACGGAGTGTGTTTATTTATCCACGGGTGAACTTGTTGATTTACCCCACCAAGCCTTATAAAAAGGCATTGCCTGCCCTTTTTTTTCCTTCTCCCCCCTTCTTCTCGAAGCAAACCCATCCAGCGTGCTAGGCTGGCCTTTGCAAACACTCTGGTGACAATCCTGTGAAGGCTACTAAACTGTGAGCTGCTGGCACAGGAGACAATAAAGCTCCTGTTCCACCTCAGGTGACCTTTAATGCAAATCCATTCAGTCCCAGGGATCTCACGGCTCCCGTGCCATGTCAGTGCTAAGAGGATGAAGCCTCAGAGAAGCTGAATTCTTTTTGATGCTGCCAAGCCTGTTTGCCTCCTTCCCCTGCCCTCCCGTTCTTTGAAAGCAGTTGCTGTTATGACACAGTATCTCCATCTGGCAGGGTGAAGAAGCAGATCCACCCAGAGCCATCAAAAAAAGAAGTGAGTCAACGCTAAAGATTTAAAGAAGTATTGTGAGATTTCATTTCAAGCTAAGGGGATTGCTTTTAAATAGCTCCCTTTAAAGTATTAAACTCAAGGTGGTGGCACAAACACAGCGGAGCCTCCAGACCTCCTACTCCCATTGTCCTTCTGCCACCAGCCAGCTACTTCTGGTCCTCAATAGTCACTGCCAACCTCTGAGGTGCAGCTCCTGTTGATGTACAGGAGCTGTTCAGTTGGGATTGGTCCACAGCTCAAACTTTATCCTGGTTTTTCAAAGCTTAATGGCTATTTCACCCCACCCTGCATGCCAAAACTGCTTCCATACCTGGTCTGCCAACAAAAGCAACAGGTACCGGCATAACAGAGCAGATCCCCCAGCCCATCCCCAGGGACCACAGGGACATTCCACTGGCCAAGCAGGAGCAAGCAGAGGGAATCAGTGGATGCAGCAAGGCTCCCCAGATGCTCTCACACCACGAGTGCTGCATTTTGGATGGGAGCTTCTGCTCTTTGCTCCCCAGGAAGAGAGAATGTAGCCTGGGAAGCTCTGTCCTGCTTTTGTAATAGGAAAACTTGGAGCATCCTGCTTTGAGTCTGAAATGAGAACGTCTCACCCCCTCATTAGCTTGCTGCTGACAATCACATGTCTGCAGTGGTTGGCTTAGGTGTAGAGAAAATATGGAAATGTAATAGATGGGAAATAGTCTCTTTTCCAAGGCAGCAGGCTAGTGAGGATTACCTCATCCCGGGGTTTCCCAATATCCCCCCAACAGAGAGGCTCCCCAGCCAACTCTCACTGGTTTGTGAAATACCTGGGCTATGTATCTCCTGAGTATCTCACTTTTCTGCCAGCGACATCAAGACTTTCTGCTGGAGGTTCCTGATTTCAAACCAAAGTCATTTGCAGTCCTGGTAATTAGTCTCATTACAGCAACATCACTTGTTATGCAAAGAAAGTTAATCTAGATTCCTAGCACTCAATACATTAAACGATTGCAAACAACACCCGATGATGTCTGCTGGGTGGTTGTGCTCCCTGTTGTTAGGTTTACTCAGAGCAGGAATAAGACTTGTCTAGATTGTATCCACCAATGGCTCTCGAGAATCTCTGGTGGCTACTACAGGCACAACCCCAGAGGTCTGAGCTTCTCCAGTGCCCAGTTACGTACCTGAATACATGTCCCAGTGCACTCCTTGCAGAGGCTGCAGGATAAAGCCCATCTGCTTGCTGGGATATGTGAGATCTTCGTAATGGGTTCCATTTTTTCAGGACATCCAATGCTAACCTGGTCATGAAACAGAAGCCAAGTTGTAAACACTGGTTACCACCCCAAATCTCCTACAGGAGAGTGTCTCTGTGGCAGTCGGAATGAGGGATGGATTTTTTATGTTATTTTTTCAGGGTCACTTGTAATTTGAAAAAAAAAAACCCCAAAAACCCAAACTCTTAAAAACAAGAAACAAATCTGGATGAAATAGCAGAAAAAAAAATTATGTTGGTATTTCCTCTGAACTAACTCCTCATCTGGATGTTGCTGTGTATCTCAGATGGAATTAGCTGTACCCTGCCCAGAGGTCCTGCGAATGCCCCCACCTCTGCATCCCTGCACCCCACCTCTGCATCCTCCATTAACAGGTTGCTAATTAAACACCCAGCCTGATGACTGACCAGCATGGCACGGCTTAACGAGCCAAACTAGACCTGCTATTTAAACCATTAATGAGCATCCTGGGCTAAGACCTGGAAACCAAGTCCATGCTCACCCACATTGTGAAGAAGAGATTGGAAAACATCTTACTTCAGGTATCCATAAGGCACAGCTAACGTGGACCCATTTCGTCCCGCTCCGGGTGGGCTTCAGCGCTCCCCCTCTCTTGGGGCACAGGAGACACTTTGGCTGCACCCCGAGGGCGCAGGTCCGGCACAGCCAGCTCCCGAGGGGGACCTTCAGGATGCCGTAGCACGCCTGTGCAGACACAAGGGAGGTGGGTTAGTGTCAGCAACATGGGAAGAGCATCCTCCAAGGTCTCCTCCTTCACTCACAACATTTTCACTACCACATCACGGCACTGAAATAATAAAGAGCAGCTGTGAAGTAGCTCCGTGACCACAGACAGCAAGGTCAAGTTCTTCCTTCCTTGCTACCTTCCTTACTTTCATGTAGATACTCATGTCAGATCAATATGTTTGAGGTTTTAATTAAAAGCTAAGTATACAAACGTGCTGTGTATCACGCCAAGCATCCACCCAGGGTCAGAGGGGGAAAGCAACCAGGTTGCTCCATCAGAGCCCCCACCACCAGCAGCTCTGCAGTGCAAATATCTGCCCGCTCATCTCCTGCCCGTTCCTCAACAGTTATCAGACCCACTGATGACTCGGAGAAGTAAGAAATGCCACGTGGAGAAAAGCTTTGAGGTAGCTGAATGCTGGAAAGTCACCACCCCACGATTGAGAAAGATGGCCACACACCCAACAGAGCCTGAAAGAGAAGGAGAAATAACTAGGGAAAAGTAAAAAGGAGAAACTAATAGTCAGGAATGTAAATGAAAAGGGAGGAACCATAAAGGACAATAAATCTGCAGGACGATAAATCTAACAAGAGGACATGGCCTCAAGTTGTCCCGAGGGCAGTTGAGATGGGATGTGAGGAAGAATTTCTTTGCTGAAAGGGTTCTCAGGCATTGGAAGGGGTTGCCCAGGGCAGTGGTGGAGTCCCCATCCCTGGAGGGATTTAACAGACGGGTAGATGAGGTGCTGAGGGACATGGGTTAGTTGGGAACTTGTCAGTGTTGGGTTCATGATGGGACTCCATGATCTTAAAGGGCTTTTCCAGTCGAGGCAATTCTGGGATCTGTAAAGGAAGCAAGGACAAGTCTACGGCCAAGAGAGTGAGAACTAAAGGACTCGGGTTGCCCATGGAGCTCCCCGACCTGCTGTGATAGTGCAGGATGCAGCTAAGCCAAAGCCCTTCATAAATATTTCTCTTCTGCACTTGGGGAAGAGCCAAATGATAAGCTGTATCACATCATGTTGACGATAAAATACTTTCCACTTGGGCTGTAACTTATGCCTGTATTAAACAGCTACTGCTGAAACGAGACAGTTTTTAACTGGCAGACCCTGATAAACTCGCACTTAAAGGGTTTCCAGAGAGTGGCAGACAACTGCCTTGGGCGCTAACGCGGGGCTGTGTCACTATTTTCAGCGAGGAGATGTCATTAATTCTAGACCTGCCTGCTCCCACGTCCCTGCAGAAGGCAAACGGGCAGCACTGATAAGGACCCCACAGTGCTGTCGGCTGTAAAACAAGCCCAGGCATTTTTCAACTCCACTTTTTGAAGTTTATCCCAAAAAAAGAACTTTTTTAAATTTTTCTTTTAAATCCTAGTGCTGTAGGTCACCGTGAGTGACAGTGCTGCAGGTGGGGACAGGGGCAGAGAGGGCATGGAGATGTGTGAGCATGGGAAAAGCCTCTCCTCACAGTTTTTACTGGCCAAGAACAGACTTTATAACATGACTTTAGCTTGCCCCAAAGCACAAATTGACTCTGATCATGATTTCCAAGGGAAAAAAGCCACTTCACGAACAGATTATTGGGATAACGAGGAATTGAGGGAGGTATTATTATTGCTGCGAGTCTACACGGTTCACAGAGACTTAACTGTGTGTTTCACAGCACCTCCAAATCTGACAGATAAATCATTTTTGTAACAGCGTTTTATAAAACATCTGATTTAGTACCAGACAAAAATCAGGCTGGTAGGTACTACCAGGAGAATAAACTGGCAGACTGATCTCAAAATCTAGGGGATATCAGGAATTATGACCAGGTGTGCATCTCTTCATTCTGGGTTATTTATTCCTTGAGGTTTTAGAGCAGCTGAACATGCAATTCTGCTCCTAGGAGCAAATACTACAGAGGAGTCTCTGTCCTGGACAAGGAAATGAGGTGGGTTATCAGCTAAACACCTTCTCCCTGTCCAGCAGCAACCAGAAGATGCTCCAGGATCACGGAGCCAGAGCAATGCTGAATAGGAGCAGAGCAGCTATTTCTATTGCAATGTCACCAAGAAGATGATGCCCAAAAAACAGGGAGGATGTCAAGCTGCAGAAAAGTTGGTGTGGTCCATGTAAGAGAGGAAGGGTCATGGCAGGACCACGGTGCAATGGCTGGAAGCTGGAGATGGATCATTCCCGTGCTGAAGAGAAGTGTGGTGTTGACACAAGAGTGAGGAACAATGATTTTAAAATTAAGATTGGATGTTCTTTCCAAAAGCTACACATCATTAGGAATTAATTAATAGCAAGCCTCATGGCTTGTGTTATGCAGATGAGATGATTACAACTAGGAGGCTTTGAGCAACCTGGTCTAGTGGAAGGTGTCCCTGCTGCTGGCAGGGGGGTTGGAACTGGATGAGCTTTAAGGTCCCTTCCAAACCAAACCAGCCTGTGATTCTATGATTCTACAATGACCCCTTCCAGCACCAGAACCCACCAATGTGTGTCTGAGCACAGTCCTGCCTCTGTTCCTTCCTGATGGGATGCAGGAGGACAAGGCATCACTTCATCCATGTCCCACCAGATCCCAGCTCCTCTCCACCGCTGCCCAAACATGCCAAGCCCATGGCACTGGTTCCCCGCAGGAAAGTATCTTCCCCAGCAGGTTCTGGATGTGGGGCTGGTGGAGGCACGGGGCAGGTTAGATAAGAAACATGATGTCACATAACACCCCAGGCTGTGGCTCTGGACTTTGTGGCTCAGGGTGCAAATTGGGGCAGAGATTAAATCAGGGGTAGCTTACGGGTTGGCATCAGGCTTAGGGCTGGACTCTGCTCCCCGAAAACAACAGGAAATCTTTCATTTCTTTCAACATAATTAAAATCCAGTCCACCACATCCCCTTCTGCAGCACCGCTCTGCTCCCAGCACCAGGGCTGCTGCCAAAAGCAGAGCCCATGGGGCTGCCACAGCCAGGGTCTGTATGTCCCCACGCAGCCCTGCCTCCCCCTGAGCCCCTGCCATGGCCTGACATTGCCACTTGGGCTTAGTAAAATTAAAAAAAAACAAAAAAAACAACACACACAAAAAAAACCCAACCCCAATGTCAATGCTGAATTGTCCTGGTATTTTGTGGAATCTGATTCACTGATGGAAACCATTCCAAACACCCACCTCCCGCAGCTATAGATATCTCCAGTGCACTCCCACCTCCAGGAAGCGCTGATGGAGAAGCTGCCCAAAAGATGAGCAAATGGCTTTCTTCAGAAAAAAAAAAAACAACCCCAAAACCCAAACCCTTCATGCAGAGGGTGAAGCTCAGGAGCTGCTGTCACTATCCCAGCACCACACAGCACTTCCCCTTGAAGCACAACCAGCAAAACCTCCCCAGACCCACATGGGATGTGAGCAGACCCTCACACAGCTGCCTTCTCCTTCTCAAGGTTTCCCCAAGCGCAGGAGCCCACAGACTCCACCCCCCCCTC